GCAAACCTCAGCTGACAGTATTGAATACTCTCAGGTAACCACAAATGCCACCTGCCAGCAGTAATTTAAGGCTGTTAGCACTGAGACCCTTTCATCAAATTACTCAGCTGTTTGACAACAGAAACGGAGAAATGTCAGTGACAGTTCCTGTACTGTGTCGTCAGCTGCGCAGGAAACAAAACAATCAGAGAAAGCTGAGCTCTTAAAACAGTGCTGTAAAGCAGACGTACAGTATGTCGGTCATGTTGCTGAAAGATTGATGACATGACAACCATGTGTCAACATTTTAAAATCTCTACACGCCATGTGCATCACACCTGTTTTACTCTCGAGCTACAAGCATTTTAAATAGCCTCATTCCATAGGTAGGAACTGTTGTCTTAGTGTGGACGTATTTTTGAATGTAACTACCTTTTGCGTGGGTGGGTTAGTTAGGTTTGACAAATTATATTTGGATGTGAATATGAAGCAAAGTTCAGTTCAAACTGCTCTGTAATTTTCACTACTGATGTGGAAAATGAAGTCAATGCTTCACTGGAAGAACATAATGAAGACTTTCCCACTGAATCATTAAGAACCCAGAATATATGTACCTCTCACTGTTTGTCTCTCAGTCTCTGTTTTCTACCTCTCTTTGTCTCGGATCCTTTCCTCTCTCCTTGGTTCTCAGCTGGCTCTGTTCCTGTGGCTCTTTGATCTCGGTGAAAGGGTTTGGAGCTTTAAAGCGCCTCTGTTTCCGCTGTCAGGAGCTCCTCTCTGGTTTAGACTTTCACAGTGGTGGCAGCCTTGTGCTGTGGTTGGGTGAGTCGGAGGCTGGCGGTGCAGCGGGGCACAGGTTTCTATGAGGCGGAGAGCTGGGGGGGAATGGGTGTGTGATGCTGTCAACTCCGGTCAGGAGAGGATGTGACACCTGACTGAGCCCAGTTCCGTCACCTACACGGCCCCTTGTAGCCACAGGCTCAAGAGAATTGAATCTACATGGGTTTGACCTGCACATGTAATTTTTGTAGTATCTCTTCTTGCACTAGATTTCATATACAGTACATGAAAGCACCATTTTTAAAGTGTTGTGGACTTTTTATTGTGACAGTGTCATGCCATGTGTTTTTGGTGGTGTTGCATCCCTGTTACCTACAGTGAAGGGTAATATGTTATGCATTTGTTACTGTTGATCCCACAAATAAATGTATGGAATAAAAACTGTTCCCCTGCAAAAAGTTAAACCTGGTCCATGAATGTTCAGTTGTTACAGTATTTAATTTGGACTCGGCAGTTTTCTCTGTCCTTCTGCAAAGTACACATCAAGACGTTTTCGTTCCATGTGCAACCATTTCATGCTTGAGCTCAAACTATTTTGCAAAGCACAGCTCCTGTTTTAGCAGACCGCAGTGTCAATGCCACTGGGCCTAACCGCTGCACCACAATGATAGCTTCTGTCCAGTGAAGTCATCAGCTTTCACTGCAGCTGTGTGCTTCTACTGCAGCTTTCACCCCCGACAAAAAAAATATTAGTGTTGATATAACCTTGTTCCAAACAAAGACCCAAGGCTTGTCTACATGAACACACATCTCTCCATAAAACCTCAGCCTTTCAGGGGCATATTTACACTCAGCAAGTGTATATTCATCTGATAAAATAAGAAGTTTAAATCCCCAGACTGCCTCGTGTAAACATGTGATGTCCTTAAAGAGGTGCTGGCTGGTTTTAGCAAGGTCACGCTAAAGGAAATGGCTTCCATATGTCAGGAGTCCAGGCTTTCCTTGTGCCCAGGTTGTTTTCTTTCAGAGTTAATAGAAATTGTAAACATACAAAGAGAAGTAGAAGAGTGTAGGAAACCTCTTCTGTCTGCTAAGAAGAAGGCTCAAACCCTGCAGTACAGCTTTGATGTAAATCTCAAATCAGGTTTAACTAAGACCTGCTCCTCTGACACACACCTCCTTGCACATGAGCACACATACAGAGCAAACATTCCTGCACACACCCATTGCCAGATGACTTCCTTTCGTAATGTTGAATTAACGTGTCCTGGCAGATGCTAAGACGATCACAGGCCTGCAGAGAGCATGGAGGACTGGACACTCACACCACCCTCCTCCAAACCACCCATCTCTCTGCTGTCATCCTCAAATCCCCCCACACCTGGCTCCGCACCCCTTCAGACTTCTTTTTGTCTCCTCCTCCCTCTCTGCTCAAACTCTTCAGCGTCCGCCCTTACCTCCCAATTCTTTGTTCATATCTTCTTACTCACCCTCCTCCTCCTCCTCCTCCTCCTCTCGACTACTGTTCATACTCTACTGGCAGTCCTTTTTTCCCTTTTCACCTTTCACCTGAAACATCCTTCTTCCTCCATCTTCTTACCAGTCTACACATGTGTTTGTTTTTCTTTTTCTCTTTTTTCGACCATCTCTTTAACACTGCCTGCCAGAAGGGCCTATTCATGAAGTTAATTAGAAAAACAAAGCAAGTAGAGGCATTTAGCCAGGGTCGGTGTAGAGAGACGCAGCCAATGCATGGCAGGGTTAATCGGTGTCTGGCTCTTCTCCGACAAGCCAGGGCCAGATGAGGCAAAACGCCATGAAATGATTCTACCTTTCCTCTTTGGTGTTTATGTCATATGTGGCCATTTCAGTGGCACACACACATTGCAATTAAGTGAAATGGTTTGCATCTGGAAATACGACTTTAAGAGTTGTGTATAATAATGTCATGTGGAGGAAATAGTTGAAACATTTGTGCTTCTGTGCAGATTTTTCATTTGTTGCCTTCTTTCATTACAGAGTTTTTTGTTTGTTTTTTTTAGTTGCATGTGTATATGAGTGTGCATGTGTCAGATATGAGCCGTGTGACATCAAAGTGAGCCACTATGCAGCTGTGTTGTGATGTGTGGAAATGAGGCATGTAATGGTGGCATTTGGGCATGTGTCTTGCTTATCGTAAACATACTCTCACATGCACCCACCTCTTTTGACGTGCACAGCTGCCCTCAGTATAATCTGCTAGATATGGAGGACATCAGCTAGTTCTCATCTTTTTTTGACAGCAGACATGCAGAAACTCACTGATCAACTGAAGGTGAATGCAGTTGTTGTGTTGCATCTATAATCCTTGCATCTATCACCTTTAACAGCCTTAACATCACTGAGACATTTTGTCACATAGCTGAACACAGGGAAAACCTTGAAAATCATTCCACAGTCCCTTTGAGCTAATTACAGAAAGTGGCTGTGTACACACACCTGTGTGTTCCTGTGTCTGTCCTCCTGTGTGTTGTGTTTCTGCTCCTCTGTGCTCATTATGGGCCCTGTGCCTGAGCTCTTTCATTAGGTGGGCTGTGAAGTGAAGGGATGAAGGGGGCCAGTAGGGGATCAGGGGATGGGGCAGAGGTTGTAATTGGGCTGTTCCGCTCCCTGGCCTTGCTCAAGGTTACTGAGAGTCAAATTCTGGGCCAGGTCTCTCACTCTTTTTTCCCCTTTCTCTCATCTTTTCCCACCCTTTCTCATCTCTCCTCCTCCTTCTCACCTCCCTCTTAAACCCCCACCTCTTCCTCCATCTTTCGCTCATCCACTCCTGCTCCTGGGCTCTTTTGTCACAGTAGACTGGTCCACTGGGGAGCCACAGTGAAGTGGAGGGGCTAATTCAGTCTAATCTCTTAGCCCGTTAATGTCTAGCTGATATGTGGATTTCTCCACATCCCTGGGGGAGGGCTTTTGTGGGGAAGGCCATCATTATGAAGTTTTCTAGCCCTCCTAGCCAATTATAAGAGGGGAGGCATTAGTTCATCGTAAACTTGGCTCCTAAGAAGTTTTCCTGATTGTTCTCAACTTTATTTCATATCTCATACTATAGAGACAGTTCATAGTAAAGGTTTTTGATAAAAAGAATAGCCTGATAGAGCTCATTTTTTCTAAATCAAAAAGGACTGGGGCGGATCTAGAAAATTTTGGACGGGGTGGCCAAGCTGGGGCACAGACTCAGAGAAGGGTGGCACATTTTAAATATATGTAAAAAGTAAATTTAACCCATATTTATATGAAGTAATAAACCATACATTGTTAAAATGAGACATACACAGTGCTCCTTATTTACTCCTGGCCAGGGACGTTGCTGCTGCACAGCGGTTCCCCCCAATGAGGTTGAACATGCAAAGTACTCCATGACAACACGACTGGAGATATGAATGCAAATATCACGCTGCATGCATGATTTAAAATATGAAACACCAGTCAAGTATTAGTTGTATTTAAGGTCATTTTTTGTTTTTCATTTTTCATTCATTAATACTAACAAGCATCACATTTTGACTCTGGCAGGGGTGGCCAATCAGATTCTGGGGGGGGCGGGCACCCCCTGGATCTGCCTGTGAGAAAAGACTGTGCATCTTGTGTGAGACTTGCAGATGGAATTTGTACCATTTTTGTATCCGTCATGTGCACTTCTGTACATGGTTTCTGACTAACGTGGTGCAGTGCTGCTTGTCTGGTGCTGGCCAGCGGTGAGCTTGGTCTAAAGTTTCCCTCTGATTAAGATGCAGTGGTGAAAGCTGCCTTTGATCTGAGGAAATGTCTGTGTAGGGAGCAGCTGGAATGCAACGCTCTTCTCTCTGCCTTACAGATGGAGGGAGAGAGAGAGTGTCATAGTCCATTCATCTGGCCTTGCCACTACCAGTCTACCCACGGTAGTAAAATCAGGATGTTCAGAGCCTGTCAGGCCTAATGAACCGACCCTGATGTTCCTCCTAGAACTGTGGTGACAACTGAATTCTTTATGTTGTATTTACACAAAGTATGAGCTTAGTCAAATCACATGATGTTACTGCTCCATGTGCTGTAACTAATCTGATTTCTGCTGGGTTCCATTTTAACCAAACTTCTTTCCTACTTGAAATCACACATTTTCTTCAGGAAATGCATGATTGCTTTAAGCTTTGTTTAGCTTTTGCAACACATTTAACATAAGCCTTCATGTTTTTTTCTGTATTCTTTTCTTTGTGTCTCTGCAGGCCCCCTGCGCTGGCGGGCAGTCCAGCTTTCCCTGACTTCCCTCTCATCCGGATCTCACCCCAGCGGAACCCCTCAGTGGGGGCGGAGTCACCGTTTCACCCTCCACACCCCTACATCAACCCATACATGGACTACATCCGCTCAATCCACAGCAGCCCCTCCATCTCTGTTCTGCCAGCCACCCGGGGCCTCAGCCCTGCAGATGGTGAATAACATACACTGTCTTGCAAAGCGTGATGTATAGACTTGTGACACAAATGCACACTCGGCACACACGTGAACATCTGCACACAATCCCAGTGAAACGTAAAAGGATGATAAAACCTCAATAGACCCTTAAATTGGAATTGATTAGTGAGATTCCTTTGCTATTAGGAGGGATCTTGATTGGCTGTATCAGTTTAATTCCTATTTGAGGTTGGAAGAGGTGAGAGGCAACTAGATCCATCTCTATTAAGACCCAGGGGTTGGTGAGATGTTATCTGAGCAAGGGAGCCGGTGGATGGGAGTATTATGAGTGCGCTGCGATCCCTGTGGGTGGGGGTGCAGGTTGGAGCGAGGCTAATCCTTTTGATCTGTGAGTCATGTCAGAGACCTCTGGAGGATGCATCAGTGAGCAGCAGGGTCACGTACAGTTACACCGCACACACCGAGGGAGGCTCGCATTGAAGTTCAGGGTGGGGTGGTGGTGAGGGAGGATGAGGGCTGGGTGGGGGAGTTGTTATGGTGTCTAGAGGGAGCATTTGTTTCCTGAGATCCCAAGATGGATTTGGATGGGAAAATCAATTAAAGTGACCACAGCACTGCCAGTTACATTATATCTAAAATATAGGTGCAAATATCAATATTATAAATGTATACATATAATAAATATGTTTTTAGCAGAAGTTGGTTCATTGCTTTTTGGAAAATTAAGATTTTTGATAATATTGATGGCTAATTAAGTCTCATATTAAGCATAAAGTGTCACAGAATGAATGTGTCTTGATTTTCAAATGTGAAAAGTTTTCTAAATTGAATGTCTTTGACCTGTTGGTTGGACAAAAACAAGGAATATGAGGATATCACCTTGGGCTTTAGGAAACAGTTAACTGCCAACATAATCAAAAGATGATTCAACAATGAAAAAATCTTTAGTTGCAGCACTTGAATGTAATGTTTTCCAAGTTTTTAATTATACAACATGATAATTCAAACTACTGCAGTGTTGTGTAATGAAATGGCTTATTTGCCACAAATCTGCGTTCATCTTAAAGGACTTGAAATGGCCTGATGATCTGTTACGGCCCTTATGTGCGCACCCATCAACCACTTTAGCGACAGAAACCCACTTCAGGTCCCCACCTTGTGTTGAAGTGCATTTCTGACATGGCAGTTCCCTTAACACCAGCACATTGGACTTCATCTCATCCAAGAGGCTCTGCTCCTCTCAGGAAGCTGAAACAGTTTCCCCACTGGTTTTTCATTACCACAGCATGTGCACCGGTTTGCTTTAAATCGAAAGAGTTCCTCCAACTACCATTTGTTCCCCTTTCACTTCATAATGCTGTGGATTGGGAATGAGGCACCTAATTACTCCTTTAATCAATCTGGTGATTAATTAACCCATCAGCTTTTGTGTTGTTAGTAGCCTATATCACACTTACAGCGAGCCTCCTTCTTCAGTGTGCACAGGTTTTTTCTTCTAAAAAGTGCATTTGAATAATGATGATTTAATTAAGAGAATATTATGGAGATTTAAACTGGGTGGGATTAATACCACCCTCCTGCTGCCACACGTTTGCTTTCACTTTTTTTGGCTCCTCACTCACAATATTTCTCTCTTTTTCTATGTGAATTGGGTTTTCAGAAGTAGGCTCACCCCTGATCCTATTGTTGTGCTGAAGGAGGACCCGGTGGCTCACTGAGTCCTGAGGCACAGCTCTGCCTTCTCTACGTCAAGCGCCACACTGACCACCCCCCCCCCCCACCCCCCC